CTTCAATTCAACTTTTTATTTTATTGTGTAATTGCAAATGTAACCACACAATGTAACCACACACAATTAACAGTAAAATTGGTTTATTCACTGTAGAGCCATTCAATATTCTTTTCAGTATCTGTGCACCTTCTCTTTAAAATGTGTTTTCAAGCTTTGTAAAGGTACTGTGTACTTTTGTACAAATTAAAATGTCACAAAAACATGAAACCATGTGGACTGTGCATACACACATACCAAACCATTCCACACAACATGTGTCAAAATCAAAATTAAAAACCGTAAGAAAACTGAATAAGAAATGGAAAACATTCTCATCTAAGTAAAATGAAGATGTTACCTGCAGCACTGCAAATCCAGTGCCAAACTAGAAGAATAAAAGACACCATTACACACTGCATTACTACATATAAATAATAAATTAATAAAATGTATAACAGAATGTTAAGCCACCAGCTGTGATTGTACCATATTACTGTACATTAGGAAACATTACTGGTTCAAATGATCAGTAACAATAATTCCTTACACTTATATAGTGCTTTTCTAGACACTCAAAGCGCTTTACAGGTAATGAGGACTCCCCCTCCACCACCACTAATAATATTAGTAATTACTGTCTTAAATTGATCGCTTTCTCTGTTTTCAGGGAAATTATTTCAACAAGCCACATCCGTATCTAAAATGAGCTCTATATGCACTTTCTGTTCAATATGGTTTCACTTATCACACGAATACCAGATTTCTCAGCCAGTCAGTGAATGCATAAAATGATTTAAAAATGAATACATAATATAAAACATTTGTATTGATGCTTTGACAGGTTGATAGACTGTAAGGTTACAAATGAGTAAAACTCATTTGTAACCTTACAGTTTATACAATGGTATAAAGACAATTAAAATAATAATTCTTACCTGAATTTGGGATAATCTTTACAGCATCTGTACAAGACAGGAGTATAAAAGATTTAAATGTAGATACAAAAAATCTTGTGCTTATGGTACACAAGGAACAATACTCATCATACCACCCTAATGTAAAGTGGTAACTATTATGATTCCCTACACAAGAGATTGTACTATACTAATAAAACTGTTGTAATTCAGGGGGTTAATAAAATATCTTCCCTTGAGGATATATACAAAATACAGTTAAATATATAAATGTGTATATGCAAGATGTCCTTTTAATAGCAAAGGTGCAGTGCTTTATCCATCTCTTGAACACTGAAGACAGAGCCCCGTTTAATACGGTGTGTCTGATCTTTAACTGCATGTGAATTGCATTTCCTCTTCATTTCCTGTAGGGTAAATTTCCTGTTTTGTCTACAGTAGAAATTAAACACTGGCAAATCTGAAGATAGGAAGTTGGGGAGGAATGGGTTTTGGGCACAGAACTTCAATCTTCAAAGTTCTGTTTGCCTGCCAGTACTCCTTTAACGAACTCTGAGACACGTTAATTGCTGGAGTGCTGTGTGGAGGTCCTAATGGATGTTGAAAAAGAGGATCAAACAGCTCCTACCAGGCACGGGTCTACGGGTCACTAGACGTCAATTCCCAGAATTCAGTGCTCAAGCATCCCTCCATTAAGCCCATGGTCACTGTCCCTGCAGCAATCCCTCTGGATCGTTTCATAGGGGCAGAGCTTCCGAATCGACCTCAGGACCCTCAAGCTAAATCCAGACTACTGCATGTGCTTAAATCATCATTTAATAAACTCTCAGAAGCGTGATTTTGCTTTTGGCTGTGTGGTAAAGAGATGTTCGTTCTAGCTTTTGTATAATTGACACCCACCTTTTACGCGGGTCTGATCCTCGCGTTCTGCAAGAGCAAAAACAGGATTATTTCTCACAGTCAGTATATATTTCTCCTCTTTGAAATGTGTTGGAAAAGTCAACATGCAGTCAGCAATGGCATTTACCTCTCCTCGTTTTTTCCAGTTGTGAAGTGATAGAATCTGTAAAACAGTTCAAAAAGCAATCAGATTTCTTTTCAATGCAAATGTGAAGAAAACATTTTTAAAACTTAAAAACAGTACACATACCATACATAGACGCTCTACGTATATCAGGATTAGCCAAGTCAGTGATACAGATTCAGAGCTAAAGCCGGAATCAGCTAATTAGAGAGAAGTGCTCTAACGCGCTGTGGAAAGAGATGAAGGCGGAAGGCCACCACACAGACATCAAATGTTGTGGTTCACAATCTCAAGATTTCACTTTTGATACTTAGGTTTAATATTAAAGACTGTGTTGCTTGTTTCATGATTAGAAAATTAATGCACCAAAATAAAAGTGAATAATTTAATGAATTCCCAAAAAACATGTACTTTTGCACCTTAACTGTAAAATACCAAAAATAAGAATTCAGTTCATGGTACCTCTGTTATTAGTAAAATTTCAAAAGTGGGAATGAAGAGTGAAATGCATTCTTTACCTCTAATCCCCTTGTTAGTCAAAATACTTTTTAGTTTTTATTTCACAGCATAATTACAAACATTGAGCCAAGAATATAAAACTTACCATATTCTCTGAGCTTCTCCTTACAGGCTGAAAGAAAATAGAGATGTTCTGGGTTAGAAAAAGTGCACAGTTGTATTGCAGTATTGCTAATGTAGCTCATGCTATCTGCACCAGACAATTGGAAAATACTGGATTTCCAGATCAGTCATTATCTATTTGCATGTGAAGAAGAATACTAGTGATGCACATTCTGTAACTGTACTTTGACCTATTCAGCTAGGTGTCTGAAGGTGTTCTGATGATCTAAGGCCAGGTGGAGAGAGGACAGACCCCGCCAGAGAGGCCAGGACCAGCAAGGAAGTTCTGAACTTTAAGTCTGCCCAGTCAGTGGAACAGTAAGGCACCACTTTGATTTCTCAATATCTTTTCTTGCTGAAACCATGAATTACAGAATCCTGTTGCTGGTAGGTCTGCTGTAGTTCTTTGTGTATACACTCATGACATTAAGGGCTGTGTGGCCCAAAATATGTCAGAGAATACTATAATTGTTCAAGTAAAAAACCACTTGCACAATCGATACCATGCACTGAGTCCAATTTTGATTAAATTATTCCAAGTAGTCTAGGACGGGGAAGATGCACATGGATAACTGATATGAATGGAAGAAGGACGGGGATACCTCTTTCTTGGCTGCGGATATTAAGACATGCGACTGCCATGGACATCAGGGCCAGTGCAAAGGCTATCACAACAACCGAGACATAGAGCCTCACAGGGTGGGTGCTTTCAAAGAAGTGATCTGGAAGAAAAATCAGGTTGGGTTATTTTCTTGCAATCTGCAGCCATA